ATGTAATGTCTGTCGTATCCAACTACATAGTGCTGTTTTTATTGTGTTTAAAGTCACTTAGATTTTACAAATAGGTGAGCCGTTCACAGCCCGGCACACGCATTTGTAAAATCTAAGTGACTCATACAACATGGAATTCATATAAAACGGAATAATCAACAGTGTTATAGGGGGGTCAACTGTAGTAATTAATTTATTTTTATTTATTTATTTATTTATTTCATATTTGCAGACTAAAAATTTACAGGTCACAAGGTGTCAATTAACTACTATGGCCCGCGGAAAAAACGTAAAATTTATTCTGGCCCATGTTATAAAAAAGGTTGCCCACCCTTGATCTATACTTCGGTGGGTTGACGTCATTCAGCTGACCAATCAGCGCGTTGTGCCATCTGGATATTTTGTCGCACGTTTTTTCCGAGGACTGCGTGTCGTGCTGAATCGAACTTTTTTGATACTAGATTAACTTCTAAAGTATAATTTTTTTTGTTTTTATATTTTTAAATACATTTATTTTGATGGTACAAAATAAAGGAATAATTTTTAACAATACAATAGCCACGATTATTATTTTAAAAAGTTTACGTTAGGCTTAACATCGACGAAAATTCAACGCGAAGCGACACGCAACGGAGATAAATTTCAACAGGGATAAATTAATATATTTTTTCGTACATAATCGGTTATCCGAACAACACCAGTCCCCAATTGATTCGGATAAACAACGCTCTACTATATTAAACTTTCATATTTTAGCATATTCCTTTCATATCTTATTATTAAAATCCGAAGGAAATTATCATTAGACTTTTATAAATATTTGAAATTTTCGAAATAATATATTTAACCGGAGATAAACTATTAGAATAAAAATATTAAGTTTTAAACACATAATTTAATTAACGACGTAAGACACAGAATTTCATTCGTTACGATTCACAAATTTCGATTACATTTAAAGAAGGTAAATTAACTGTGGTCATGTTTAATTCAAACGAACATCGAAATTTTTTTTTGCATTACTGGTATTTTTTGTAATGAAGAAATGTCCAATTAATTGCAAGAAAGCTTAAATGGCATAAAACGTTAATTTTTAATAGAAAAGATCGAAATAATGGAAAGTATTGTCTTCCGTAACAATAAAATATTAGGCTAGTGTTCTTGTGATTGTTTGCGGACAATTAATCTTTGTAAAGATAAAATTTTTATTTCAAGGAAATGTAGATCTCTTCACGAGTCACTTCAATCGGTATTGGAAAGTTATATAAATTTAAAAATGAAAACGAATATCTGCTATAATTTCCAATCAAAAGGACATCATTTTATGTAGATTCGCAAACATCGTGGTTTTGGTTTTCGTCAGACTCTACACATCAATTAGCAATGATATCACATCAATAGAGAAAAACGATCGTCGACGATTCCAGATGAAGAATGTAAAACGATTTATTCTTGATTCTGAGAGGACAGAGCTTTCGCCAGACACTCCAACTACAGTTCTATTTCTAAATTTGATCTGCAGGTGGTGTGTCCAACAAGGTAAGTGTTAAAAGCATTAATTGCCCTCGGATTCTAACGATAATTATTCTTTCAAAGAGAAAGAAATAGAGAAGAAACAGACTTTATTCAGAGGAATGAAGAGAAAGAAATTGAGGAGAATGGGGATAAGTGAAAGGTAAAAGGAATTTGGAAAGAGAGAAAATATGTTGTCCCGCGAAACTGAGTCCGTCTATTCACCAGAGGATCAACCTCAAAGGGCAGATCCAATCCCAAGTTTTCCTAGTTAGTATATTAAAATAAACTATTATATATATATATATATATATATATTTATTTATTACTAAGTAAAGACTACTTACTTGTGGTATTTTAGCAATGTTTTATCCAGGAAATTGTAATCTATTTTTAATAGATAAGAAAAACGTGGACAACAATTTCGACTTGTTGAAGAGCAAATGCAAACCATTTTAAATCAGTGGCAATATTTTAAAATATTGCCACTGATTTAAAATGCATTGTCATTTGCTCTCAACGCTTCCATTCGCTCCAAGGGAGCGAATGGAAGCGTTGAGTCCAAATTAAGTTATTGATGGCAGCGGATATTCCTCAGGTCAAACAAAATTTAGCAGGTGAAAGTGAAGAATTGTGTTGTATGGAATCTAACTCCCATTCAGGAGACGTCTTTTCTTAGCACTTTTATGCCAGTAACGTAAAGATGAAAGCACTGAGTACAAGACACTGTTCATTAGATACGTAAGCAGAGAAGATCAGTTTTCCTCCGTTTCGATTACGTTTGTTATAATGTGTACAATAGAATAGAAGAACAAATGAAACAGGTAAGTTCTGAGCTTTCTATACCCAGTGAGAATTTTTTCAGGTAGTACTTGGGAGAAAGATAGTTCAGTTTGTGTTGGTGTATTCGACGGTTGAATTCGTAGTTAATTTTTTCTATAATTTTCGTCATACTATCTTCTATAGAGATAGTATGTTCTTATAGCTTATCATCGTACTTATAGATTTTTGAAAACTTTGTGAAATAAATTTTACAAATTGAAGAAATTGTATCTTTTTGTCTTGACGTTCCAAAAATTTCAGTTTAGCCTAGGAACTGAGAGGAAATCAATTATAAAAATTGGTGATACTTCTGAAAATAGTTTGAATATTAACTAGAAGTTTGCCATTATTAAGAAGTATTAGAAATGAAATGAAGGGCCATAATGTTGTCACTAGGATTGATACTCCGAAACGCCTTAGGAGTTTGCACATGATTTTCCCTATTAATCGGATTTGTGTGACCTTTTCCCTCCAGAGCAGTTGTTTGATATGACTGGCAGGATGATCGTAATCTGTGGGACTGATCTGCATGACCTAACACAGCCCGAACAAGTACATCTGCTTTCTTATTTATCCGATTGCCACAGTGTTCTCTCAGCCAGTTGAAGAAATAATGATTGGTGCTGGAGATACAGGTGTTTAAGATTTTCCTGGTGAGTGGGTGTAAGCTGTTCTTATTCTGCAAAGTCAAAACGGTGACGATCTATCAGAGAAGACTACCACTCCTTTTTTTGAGAGTGTTACCTCGCACCACTGAATGGATTAAATGAATGCAAGCAATTAGGAAGTAAAGTGCTAGCTATGCTCGTAGTGAATCTTTATTTCATTGAGATAAGTCAAAATGCAGAATCACTTCCAGTGAATTTCTTCGAACCATCAGTATATGTGTTGCATATTTGAAGAGTGCAATCTATACCTTAGGTAGGACGAGGAAGCTTATTGCAGCAAATTTTAGTTTTAGAAAACGGCATAGAAGTTGATGGAGAAGACAGTGATGTCATTTCCTTTGGCAACAAGATAGCGTGATCCAGCATATTCTACACAACGATTAATTTGCAGAGTTTTGCTCAAGACATGTAAGGACACAGTTAAGGCTGTTGAATATGATTGAGCCATAAGCGGAAATGCTTTTCTTCGGGCACTTTGTAGCCGTTGCACGTGGCGAGATTGTTGGCTGGCAAACCTACAGATAATCGAAACGTATGTGGTTATTAGGATAAAGACAACATTGCAGATGGGATCAAGTGCATCGTGGTTGAGACCCCAGTTTTTGGCCACCATACAGAGTGAATTGACGATGAGACAAATTTCCAGCTCATATACAATAGTGCTAACAGCAGAATGAACTGAACTTCAAAATAGATAAGAATCAATCACAAGACATCGGTTTGATTCCTGGTTCTTAGGTAAAGCTTTAATAGAACTTTTCAATAGCTGCTCGTAAACAGCAAAAGAGCTGTTGTCGGACACTTAATCTGGAAAAATACTTTCGTGGCAAATCCAATTTTTACTGTTTTATTGATGCAATTGATATTAATGGGAATGTCCAACTGCGGTTTCAGGAAAGTCGTTACCCGAATGGAAAATGGATCGTTAACGAATCGTCGATCCCCTAAGGAACAAAGACAAAATCAAAACTACAATGAGATGATATGAATTAGCCTAAACTGGGGTCGAATGCAATTAACGGAAAGTAGGGAGAAGATCAGAGTCATAGTTCTATATCATAATAAGAATTAATAGCTTAAGTTTTTAATTTTTTGCTTATACTATAAGGTTTAAAATGCTTAACATAAATCACGAGATCGACGGAGTATTTTTGGGGTTGGAATGGGTAGAGGACGAGGAAAGAGAATGACAAAAATCATTATTGGTCGTTTTACCTATATATGCGCGAGATCCAGTTTTTCTCTCTACTTGCTATGCTGTCTAGCAATTAGGGTTGGTTTCTGGATACAAAAAAAACCACCACAAAGTGGGTGTCACCTTGACGTGGTTTTGTGGCTTAAGTGAGAAAATTTTATGATAATTTTGGAAATAGAATTTTCCACAAACCAAGTACACCCGACAGCATTAATTTTTCAGATTTCTAGTGGATTCAGAGCAATACCGTGAAGAAACTAACATTTCCAGGCAGGTGTAACAGGTGTACCCGCACAGGGCCCACTTGGAAGGAGGCCCAAGATGCATGTATTTGTTTTATTATTTTCCCAAACCTAATTAATTAAGGGGCCTAAATACAAATTTTTGCACAGGACACAAGAATGGCTAGTTAAAACACTGTTTCCAGGTAACAACAGGAAACGAGTATCTTCTGACATCTTGGAAATAATTACGTATTTGTTATTTGCACTAAACGAAACATTTGTCTTTATGAGTCAGTGATAGTCAGTGAAAAAAAAAAATTATTATATACAATAATAATAATGTTATTATTTTTTCCTATCGCTATCATATATATATATACAGTAGACCCCCCTATAACGCGGAGATACTTTCCTCGTTATACGAATTTCGCGTTGTAGGAATCCTTAAATACGTGAGCCAATCACAGCCTGACACGTGTGAAGTTTACGGACTACTGCTGTTTGAAAGGTTTTCTTCCATAAAATTAATCGATTCTAGACTAATTCGACTTAACATTTCCAAAACACGTATAATTTTTTGGGAATAATCCGTATAAACTATGCTATAAACAAAAAATTGTAGGATTACTTACCGAGTGTGCATCGTTCGACGTAGCTACGAGTTGGCGATGACGTTTTACCGCGTTTTACGCGTCTCTTTTAGCGTCTTTATAGGAATATTGTCGCAATTCTTTCGCCTCGTTATAGGAATCTACGTTATAGGAACTCGCGTTATAGGGGTCTACTGTATATATATAAATTTGTTTTGCCATGTGTAGTGTTGTGTTTCATCACGCCTTTATGTCCTGTTTTGTCACACGTAGCGCCTATCTTGTCATGCTGTTGTTATTTATTTGCAGTGTCTAACCACTGCCTTATCCTATAAGCAACCTAATATCTGTATTCAGATGGGCTGCGACCCACACTGTGTATGTAAATTTTTCTTCTGACCGGTAACAGATCCTGGTTTCATGCTCAGGTGACTCACTTTTCACTTTGCTATCTACCTTTTCTCCCTTCAATTTCCCCCAACTTCCTCCTTCTTCTTTCACCCACCCTCATAATTCTTAACTTCAAGGGCTAAGCTCAAGGTATGGCCTTCTAATTCTTTACTTGTATTGTATAACTTATATAGATGAATGTATTATTAGAACGGAGAATTTAACTTGTGATAAACTAAGATATTCGTCACATTCGTTAACATATATATAAATGTATTAATACAACATATATTACGTTGATATTAAATTACAGAATGTAGTTTTTCAAATTAAATTTTAATGGCTATGTATATATTGTTTATTTAATCCAGTTATTCTGAACGTTTATGAGGCTGCAAAATACCATTCTTTTACGAAGCGTTATCACAAATATATTCAAAACTTCATAAACAATTCCGGGTTTATTATTCTTAGGAAACAGTGAAGCAATAAAATAATAAACTTTAATGCCTTGAATAAAATGTGAATATGGAATTGTTTACGAATATGAAAACGTTCTAGTACATTAAAGTTTTTACACTATTGTAAATTTATTCTAAAATATTTTGCAGAGAGGTTTGCAGAATACTGGTTAAGGACCACGGTTTTAAAGAATAGTTTCCCGAATAACGTCATTTTATTTCCTTGCTTTATTATAAAATCTTTGGTAACATTAATAATAGAAGAAAAAGGAATAATATACAAAACGAGCAATTATTTATTATGACATCGTCACAATGCCGGGCTGTAATTTTTTGCCACAATGCTCTCAATTCTAGTAGTGTCTTGCCCCTGTACATCATACTTTTATGTTAACAATACCTGTCATCTATCTAACTCCGTTCCGGAGAAAGTTTTTAAATTGAAATAACGTGATTTCTGGTACAAACCGGAAGTTTATATATAGTTAAAGAAGGGCTTGCCACCTAGTTAGTGGGCTTCATGCCACTAAGCTTTCCATATCTGATCTTAACTTTCATCTAACTCCACGGATGGAATAAGGCGATGCAAGAGGATTTTTCTAGGACAAGTGAAGAAAATTTGGAAAATAGGAAAGCAGCTAGGTCAGGCTTGAACTCACAACCGGCTACCAGTGTTTTATGATTGAACACTGTATAGCCATATCCTGGAGCTGGTCGCAAGATTATTAGATTTATAATCATATTAAATAACCCACCGGTGCCGTTTTATTTTTTATTTTTTGGAAACCAGTGGAATATATTATCATCACAGTATGCTTGTCTTTTTTTCTGTTAAACTTTGTCTTAGTTAAAATGTAACTCGAATATCCTAATTAGTTAAACCAAGGTAAAAACTTCTAAATAAAGAAAAGTTTTGAAAGTTGTGGCATAAGCATACTGGAAGCTGATTTGACAGTGAGACTCAATATGTGAATAAAGTGCACATTACACAGAATACAACTACAGGAAATTTTGAATGAAGGCAATGTCGCCATGACAATAATTAAGAAAAATAAACATCGGCACAAGAAGATTTCGAGCTTTACTTTACTTTGCGCCTTAAAATCGTTGCACGTAATGTACATTAATTTGGCTGAACTTTTAGAACATCTTAAGCAGTATTAGTTTGGGGCAATGGGTTTATGAGTTAATAAGGGGAGAGAAGTCAGAAGAAGGGGCGAGGTGTTCAGATTTCCTGGTAGTTAAGCATGTCCTCGTAAATATCGCGTTTATAAAAAATTATTAGAATTGGTTTGGTTTATTTAGTTACGGCATCGCGACACCTGAGAGATCTGCAAAGAAAAATGCATCTCGGGAAGATTTATGTAAAGCGATTCCCTATTTAGGTGCTAATAATGTGAAGAAAACCCGGAAAACTCCACGTGGCAAGTCCGTTGGCCATCCGCGAAATTACGACAGACTACCGGTATTCTGTGGTTTTATCCACTCGGTTACTGGATGATACTTATTGGGCTGCAATTTGAAAAAAATTTTAAATTTATAAATTCCCAACTATCGTCTGTCTGCTGTCTGTCCTTCCTTAATCTCAAAAAAGTAGTTAGATAGGTGGAAATCGAGACCAGGCATAGAAAACTAATGGGCAGAAGACCCAGATTAACTGTATAAAAACTTTAACACGAAACGAATGTTACGTTATTTCAATTCAAACATTCTCCTCCAAACGGAGTTAGATACATAACCGGCATGACTCTATTGTTAACAGGAAGAGTATGATGTACAGGAGCAAAACACTTCTACACTACTCAGGCAAGTGCTACATGCTACCTGTCGTAGTAATGGCATAATGGCGCATCTATTTCGCGCTATATCATTGTCGCAGTAATTTAGTGATAATATATATTTTTTAAAATTATATCCTTTTTGTAAGAATTATCTTTAATTAATTATTTTCTTAAATTATTTCCAAAAGATGGCGCTACGTGTAAAGCCAGCAATCAAATGTAGACCGAAATTAATCGATATATAAAAATCCATTTGATATTTTGGAGTGGGATGTATGACATGATCTAAATTTGAAGTATTTGAACGTAACTGCCGAGTTTCGTAGCAATTGGCCGAATAGCATAGGAGTGCATAGCTAAAAACAAATAAACAAATATTCTCATTTATATATATATATATAGATAGATTATATAGATTATATCATTTTTCGGAAGCCAGTCTTACAGTTTTAAAAGCATTTTTTACTTCATACTTGTACGTAACGAAAATAATGATTTAACAGTAGAAATAAAGACTTGGCTTAAATTTGAAAAAAAAAAAACTTTTATTATGTAACTGTAATTTGCAGTTACTCAGTTGAAATCAATCAACAAAATGGTTTTTCTCATTACATACGTACATAATCAACGTAATCTACAAATATTCACAGCAAACTTTGATTTACTAACACAGAAATTCTAAAACAAAGAAAAATCATTACCAAAGATAAAATGTTCACATGAATGCGAAAAATCATAAGCAAATGCCCCGCACAGCAAGAATATGGAAAATACATTTCATTTTTCGCGAATTTTGGAAACTGTTTCGAGAAAACGTGCTTACCGCTAATACACGACATTTACCCATTAGCTTTGTATTCAGCTCTACATTTGGGTACCTGCTACTCGACGCCATTCCTTAAAGAATATCCATGTTTATTTGCTAAACCACCATTTTCCACTCCAAACGGATGATCCTCAAGTGAAAGTAGGTCTTTACCGCATCAATCATCCTGTTGTTTGTGGATACCATAAATTAACTATTATACTAAATAATGATTTTATATAAAATCAATGATGTTTGGCCTGCAAGTTTAAAAGTGCAGACCAATAAAATCCCACTGGCTTCCATATGTCTCTCTGTCCTTCTTAATCTCGAGAACGGAGTTAGATCGAGACCAGATATGGAAAGTTTAGGAGCCAGATGCCCCGGATAACTAACTAACTACAGTTGTTAACCCTGCAATAAAAAATACATTAAAACATTGAATAAGAATATCAATTTTCGAAACTTATTTATTCCAGTAATAACAGTACGAGTATTCGTTCGAAATTTCCCCAAGGTGTCAACTTTCTCCCTGGAAGGGGGTCAGAGATCGAATCTCAGCGACCAACCTGCGAAATGTTTTAATTAAAGGGTGATCTTTCCATGCATGTTGAGCCTCGACACTACAACTTGCCGATAACGAATACATCAAACCAAAATCGATATACGTTTACAATACCAATATGCCGGTTATCGAAGCAAACTTTTGGTACCAATTACGGTGTAATGAATTGAAGGCTCGAATGAATTATTCGACTCGAGTGATTACATTTTATAACTTGTAAGACACGCAGGTGTAACAGATTTTTGTGATTTGTCATATTTCCATATATTTTCTTTAAAAAATATACAAACTTTAAAACACCGTTATTAATCGGATTAACATTCAATCTTATAATACACTGCAATTTTAAATTATAGTAAATTAAAAATTTAATTAAAGGTATTAGTACCAGTAATTGCTAAAGTCTGTAGTTGATGACTATCAAACTAGTTATGGTTATTTTGCAGAAATTCGGTTAAATATAATTATTTTTTTTTAATTTATAAAATTTTGAATTATTTATAAATTCAGTTAAATAAGTTTTTCAAATTTATTAAAATTTTTTAAATGTTTATTTCTGTTATTTTACATATTTTTTTAAATAATTTATGTAATGCATAGACAGAACTTAATTCGTTATTTTCTTAATTAAATATTAAAATATTTTTATAAAGATAAAAATATTATATAAATTTAACATTAATTAAATTTAAATATACAAATTCCAATATTATTCATTTCCAATATAAATTTTTAATTCGATTGACATTACCAAGTTTATACATGTCAAGCTTAATTAAAGACAGAAAACAATAAAGCATAGTGTTATATACAGTAGGCCTACATTTTAAAGTTTAGTAAATTTTGCTAAAACATAAGGATATAATATAATACTGTATATCAATTAATAATCAATCCTGTATTTTTTCATCAGATCTACGTGAAGGCAGCATGAATCCTCCATCGCCGCTTGGCACCCAGATTTGTCTTTCTTCATCTGATCTACGTGAAGGCAGCATGAATCCTCCATCGCCGCTTGGCACCCAGATTTGTCTTTCTTCATCTGATCTACGTGAAGGCAGCATGAATCCTCCATCGCCGCTTGGCACCCAGATTTGTCTTTCTTCATCTGATCTACGTGAAGGCAGCATGAATCCTCCATCGCCGCTTGGTACCCAGATTTGTCTTAGCTCTTCGAGAGACTTAGCGAAATTTGTATATCTTTTACTATGTCTCTGTTCATCGCAGCGGCCTGTTGAATAGTTGAAACTTAAATTTTATATTTATTTAAGAAATAAAAATAAAACAAAAAATGATGAATTTTTTATTTACGAATCTTGATAATTGTATGAAGGATCTTTGATGAGATTTAATTAATATAATATATAGTATTCATTAAAAGTCATCAAGAATACAATTAAATTTATAGTAATTTCTGAAATCGAAACTCACAGTAACTGGGAAGAACAGAAAGAATCAGTATCCAAATTGAAAAAAACGCCATCTAAAAATTTGAAAAAATTTGAAAAAATTTTAAATTTATTTTATTAGATTTAATTTAAATTTGATTAATTAAAGCTACAGTAAATTTAATTTTATCATAATAAAAATTTAAAGTAAATTACAATAATTACGTTTATGAGCTAAATACGAATACTTATAAAATATTATTATTTATTCGCTCACTGAACTAAACTGTATGTTCAATATTACCCAACAGAAGCCTATTTATATGCTGAATGCAATAGTAATTTAAAACGAGAGTTTATGCAGCTTGATGACGAAAAGCGATTTGATTGGTTATATGAAATGCAATTATATGAATAACAGTGCTTTTATAGTTTTATTAGGTAGTTGTTTATTTCAGTTAATTCATAGATGTTTATTTATTTGATACAGCAACACAACACGAAAACTTTCTGCCAAAAATGTTTTATGGGAGGAATTTCTACTGTAAACTGGCCCTATTTAGGAGTTATACACACGAAGAAACCGCGGTCAGCTCTCGGATCAGGCACAAACCGAAGACCAACTATTAGTATTCAGTGGTTTTATCCATTTTCGGCTACTGGCAGGCTCATCGGCTAGTTTGCTGAAGCGAAAATATAACTGATTGGCAATCTGTGGGACCTAGATTCGCATCCTAGTCGAATCTTTAGCAAATGAAGTATGTAGATTACATACTTCATTGATATGATAGTCTGCATATATCAGTCTCAATTCTTCATCATTTGATTGAGTGAAAATTGTGGATCAAACCATGACATTCAGATAGCTGCCCGATAAGTGACAGACGGGAACGGATTCAAATTCGTAAAGATCTGAATTTGAATCCGTTCCTGATCATTATAACTCATCATGAATAATACGGATCGAGATATCGTTTCATGTCCTTCCTCTATACTGTTCGAATTACAATCGACCCCCCCTATAATTACGGTCCCTATAATTACGATTCCTATAAAACTGCGAAAAAATATACGTATTTTGGAAATGTTGAGTCGGATTACTGTAGAATCGATTAATTTTATGGAAGAAAATCTTTCAATCAGCCGTAGTCCGTAAACTTGACACGTGTCGGGCTGTGATTGGAACTATTTGTAAGAAATCGGATTCCTAATAAATTGGAACGTATCTATATCTTATAGGGGGGTCGACTGTATTTGAATCAGGTTCGCGCTTAATTAATGAGCAAAATCGTTGCGAGCTATATATTTAGACTACATATAACCTTGCCTTATGGGTATCTGGACAAAATCAATCTGTAAATCATGTTTGTATAGGAATCAACATACCAGTGAATTCAAAATTTTACATTTTGATTACAATTGATGGTATTGCGTCAATTCACATAAAGTGTGTGAAATTTCGTATTCACAGAAACTTGTAAATGAGGAGACAGTACCAATAAATAAACAACTTTAAATATTAAAAGGAAACATAAATGATAATTGATTTGTCCGCCTGTTTTGCTTATTTAGATCTCGACGAATTTATTGTTTCACCTACAGTTTCAAGGACAATGGTAGGAGTAAAATACGGCATTTCGTTGCAAAAAGAAATTCAATAGCAATTGGTAAATTAAAATTTATTCATTCGAATGATTTTAAAATTAGGAGGACAAAAATAAAAGCGCAATATATCCGAATCGCGATATAACGAGGGGCTACTGTATTAAATAAATAATTTTGAAATCAAAATAAAACTACATCGATGATCCTAGATGGACGCATCTTTTTAAACATTAAGCCATATTTATTAAATATCAAGTTTTTTTAAATCAAAATGCTGTAGTTTGTTTCATTAAAACTGAACTGTGTGATGTCACTCTGTGTCAAAGTGGAAAACTGTAATGACAGACTGACATCACGTTGATTAAATTATTAAATTTAATAGTAAAACTGTTTTATTAATCAGTCTGGCATAGTTTTTTAATCAAATTTTTATGAAAAGATTGAAGACTGATTTAAATTATTTCGTAATTGCAAATTTAACAACAAGAATGGACAATTCTTACAAATATAAATGGTACGATAAATTTTTTCTATTGCAATTTATCATATTATTTAATATGTTTAAGTTACATTTACAACAAACTTTTTTTTAAGTAAATTGTAAAATTTTAACATTAATATCATAATTTCTTTTGATAATAAAACATTTTAAACCCAATCAATCAATCAAATTGTTTATTAGTACGGTAATAAGGTAAAACTCCTGTTACACGGGGAATATTCTTGTTACATTAATTATTTAAAATATTTTAAAAATCTGTTGCTAGAGATTTAATATATTAAATTCGTTTTAAAAACTGAATATATTTTAAATTAGAAGAATCAATAAAGTTTATAAACCTTTTTTTGAAGGTTTATACACCTATTTCATATTAGTTCAGTTATTGTGGAATTTATTATCAAAGAGATATTATATTACCTGAAAATTATTAAAATATTCGTATAATAATCATTATTAGAATATTTAGTTTACAAATTATTAAATTAACTTGCTTATTTCTTGTTTGTTTGCCAAATGTGCATAAAAAATAATTGCGGTATATGGAAACCAGCTATTATATTCACCACCAATCAGCTCTATCTTTACATACTTTATTAAAATAATGCTCTACTATAAATATAAAATATAAATATATATTATTTTTAAAAGAGGTAAGTTACAATGACTAAAATTTATTCTAATTTCATGCGTTATATTATAATATTTCAAAATTAAAATTAAATTAAATTATTACAATTTATTTAATAAATTAATTTTAACTTTACAATTATTTAAAATAAATAAATAAACTCATAATTATCAACATAAGTTTTGTTAAATGTACACGAAATCTTTTATTTTTAATATTTTAAAATATTGTTATAGCGTATTAATGCAATATACTCATATTTTTTAAATACTTTTGTTGTATCATTTAAGTAATAGATTTGAAATATTTATTAATATCTTATTCTCTTTATAATGTTGCCATCAGCATTTTATTTGTGGCTATTCATTGTGTAATGGTGCTTTTAATTAATTATAAAGTTTTATAATTTTTATTATTTATGAATAAATAATAAAAATTATAAAAATTTATGTATCGTTTCATG